ACTGTAGAAACCTTTTTCCCCATGTACATATAATAAAAGCAGTCTTTGTTAATAAATGTACACTTAGTTCATGTAGTTACTGCATTAAAGAAGCTATTACTAGTGAATAAAACTGTTATTCAGATTTCTCTGCTGCTCTGAGGGGTGTGTGTGTGTGGAACATAGTATGTCAGTGTGGATATGTGCTGTGATCAAATAACAAAACGGTTTGTTCAGGCAAGAACGGAAACAATAGCCACAGATTATTGATTATTATTCATATACCCAAGCTGGCAGAGAACAACTCTTGAACGTTGTCTTCAGCCATGACAATAGTTGCACCCAACTGTGGTGACTGTTAAGGTGTAGGCATTGAAAGAAATCAGCTCTTTTCAAGTCATTTTGTGGGCTTGAATCCAAGAAGACGCTCCTTGTCTGACTTGTTGATGGCTGTTCCATCTGAAAGCCCTTAAAAATATTTCCCTTTCTGTGTTTTTATGATTTTTTTTTCTTGAAGTTCAAAGAAGCTGGCGGCGGTGGCATCCAAGTCATCCATCACAAAAAATGAAGTGGAGCTTTGCGTTTTGTCCAGGAAGGTGCAGCCCTGTGTCTTTGCTTTGCTCAAGTGTAGCAGATGGGTTTTTCGATTACTGTGGCACCGCCATCCTCCAGCATTGCTCTGCATGGTCTGGTGGGTTTTTAAGCATTCCAGGCAGGGTGTTGTGTTATTCAGGGAAAGTTGGCAGTGAGGTTTTGGCAGTGGCCAACCCTGGGCCGATCCTGTTAGCATGATTTTAAGTGCCACCACTGTGCAGAGGATTATGAGAGATTTAATAGTGTTTCCAGACGGGCCACCTTCAGCCTCTGATTTAATGTTGGGGCACATCCGAAATGGAAAAAGAAAAACATACTGCATACATTGCCAAATGAAGGAATTGCATAGAAGAAGAAATTAAAGAAAAAAAATCTTGTTGAGGTGGGGTGGTGGGGCAGTGACACAATTTCTGTTTGTTTTTTTTGCCCCCTCTCCCTTTACTCTGAGTTCTTTCATCTACAACAGTCTTAAGTTGAAAAGGGCTTTTTTTCCTACTGGTACAATATCACTATAGCCATAGAATTGCATTTCTGTATGGTAAATGACAAGTCAAACTGCACCTTTATTCACCTGGTGCTGCTGAAAAAGATGCCTTTCCCCAATCTGGGAGGTAAACGCCCCTTTCTTTCAAGGCAGACACAAAGGCAATGATTATTATTTTTGCCGAGCTGCTCCTTAACCTTAAGTTGAAAACGTACTCTCTTCTGGACAGAATATTAGGACCCCCCCCCCAGTCCAATGAATTAACCCACGCACCTTGAGCTTCAGGAGAAAGAGCCAGACCTCCATTGTCTTCTCTTGCCCGAAGCTGGCCCACACCTGGAGAACTATTCAATCCCAGGAGCCTTTACCCACACCACAGACGTAACCGAACGTGCTGAAGGAGTGGGATGCGATTGGGCTGCAGAGATTTCAGAACCTTGTGAAATCTGGGCAACATCCTGTTCAAGCCCCTTTTAGTCCTCCTGAAAGCTCAGCATGGTATTTGGATGGGGCTCTTAATATTTTGGCCAGTGAATGTAGTCAATTTGCCAAGGCAGTGTGCATAGCAAACATATTTGTCTGGAGGACAGGCATTTCACATTACTTGTAGGAAAGCCCTTTTAATAATTTTTTATAATTTATCATTTCATAATTTTCTGTGGGTGGCTCACTTGCCTGGAAGTCTGAAGGTTGAAGGGCCCCACTTTCACCGCCTGTCAGAAACTGTCTGGCTCTGGGCTGTTCCAGGTCTGTTTGGAATTCAAAATATTGTTTCAGCGGATTAATTATGAGGCACAGCCATACCTGGGGGGGATATTGAAGGGCCCCAATAAAATCTGCTGGAGTGAACAGTTGCTGCACTTTTGTTTAAATGTGCTTCAGCTGAGGTAGAAAAATAAACATGGGGAGAGCTAAGATGAACACAATAACTGTTGTTAAAGGAAAAGCAAATGGCATTTTTGAGTGTTGTTTGCTTTTAATTTAATCATACAATGAGCAAATGCAGAGCTGCTGTTTAACAACAGAAACACGCTTATGTGTATAGAGGCAATTTGGTTTTTTTCCCAATGGTGCTGCCTTTAGTAATGTAACTTTGGATTTTACTTCGTGAGAGACACAAAACAAGAGATTTAAGGAGTCCCAGCTTCCGGTTGTCTTTTCCTGAAGCGCCTAGGTTGGAATATACAGGTTACTGATGAACGAATATGTCAGCAGATGTGGAGGTCGGCCTTATTTTAATGCCAGATTTAGGAATGCAGCAAAGTACCTGCATGTTCAATAGTAGTCATAAAACCATCATGTCTGAATTTATAGAAGAGCTGCTGACAGTAGGCCTTTCATGTTAATGTCATCCTTTAATCACAGACAGCATTCTTTCAGGATTGAGGCAAAGCAAGTCTCGGGCTGCATGCTTCCCTTATCATTCCCTGTATAAATTATTTCTATTGCAAAAAAATAGAGGAGGTTCTTCTGGAAGCTTCCCTGACTTGGCCCTGCAATCTTTTTACCATCGGTGAGCAGGAATGACTAAAAATTGCCTTCGTGAAGTCCTTTTAACCTTAAAACGTACAGTAGGTGCTTTTTGCCTTACTAGAACATGGTTGTGTTTTTTTTTTATTTGGTTCATGTTTTCGAAGACTCATTTGTCTGGCATAATGTGGCAGAGCCAGTGACGTGCTGTCGGTAAGAGAGAAGCAATAAAATAACAAAAAATAGTTAATTCGTTTGTTTTCAAAATAAGCTCATTGTCCTTGCTTTCAATTCCAATTTTGTATAGAAATGAGCGAAAGAGGTCCTACCTTTGTTACTAGATTTATTGCATGGACTTAAATAAATGATGCAACAGCCCTGTAATAAAGAAGATTGCACAAATATTCTAGTTATAATTTTATGGAAATAAGGAACAGGTACAGGTGTATTCCATGCTGAAAGGAAAAGAAAAGAGACTGTGTGTGACAGCAGCCCCCACAACATGACACACCTACCCGCTTGGACTTCTGTAAGGAAATAGTTGCTCATTTCTTTCCATTTTCTTTCTGTCTCCTGCTGTGTTAGAATCGGGAATCTGTTATGAATGGTTCCTGGTTCATGACGCTGGGCTGCGGTTAGTGTGAAGCAGAGAGCACTGCTGACTCAGGTTCTGCGTGTGTATGGGGGGTTGGGGATGGGCGAGAGGTGCAGGAATCAGCATTTTATCAGATGGGAAATCAATGCAGGGTGCTAGCAGGGACAGAGTGAAACTGAATAGGTGATTCCAAGAGGCTGCAAGGAACACTTAGAATGCATTAACATTATGGCTTGAGGTCATTTAATATGGGGCACTCTATAATAATTGTGGTACAGCAGCAAAGTCCTAATTCTTGCAAAAAGGAAAGGGAGAAATAATTTTCCCACCCTCCCCTTCCTCCGTTATTCCCTTGTCATAACTTTCCCCAGAGCTGGGATAGATCAGTAATATAATCAGGTAGGGCTGCAAAAATATATGCTGAGATAGCAGCCATACTGCAGTGCACAATCAATCACGAAGAGCAGCTCTCAGGCGATCTTTCTCCTTCGTGCCTTATGTTATAGGATAAATGTCTTTTAAGAATCATTGCTAAACCTGTGACATAGACATCAGTGAAAAAGCCCTGGAACTATCAAATAACCGCATTGATGATTGTAAGCCTCTCCTTTTAAAAAATCTGCTTGAGAGAACACCAGCAGAAATCCTGAACCTGAGCTGTTTTGTGGAGCTAATTGTTTTTTTGTGAGAAACGTTATTTGTGCGTTATGATTTGAGGAACATGAATTAATAGGTTTAGGCATGTTCTTATCAAGGAGAAATGGAGCATGTAAAGGCCTTTTTACAGCGGGTGAGAGCACAGTGCATTACATTCATCTATTCTCTCTTAACCAAGAGAGAAAAGTTTATTCATTTTTAGGGAAGAAACATATAGCGTAATCGGGATATCTCTTAACCATCGCAGATTTATAAACAAATGTACCCTGTACTGATGATGCATACTTGGAAGGACACTACTTCACTTGAAATTCCAGTGTGTTTTATATCACAATTTATTTTTAAATAAAGCAAAGTTGGAGAAAGTCACGGTCTATGTACTGTATTTGGTATCTGGTTGGATAATGCTTTAACTTTGAAAACTGCTATTGATAAATAAAAAGCTGAAGCCAGGCTTACTCTTGGTTTCCTTTATTGAAACAAATCTTGTTTTGCATGTTTCTCTAGGCCTGTACTAGTTCAGATGTCTATCATACTAATCTTGGACTATGGGGATGTGGTTTACTGAAAGGCCTTCAAAACTGCGCTTGGGAAACTTCCTTAAATCATTCTGCCAAAAAATTGACCTAATGACCTAACCTTTACTCTCTGATCAATTGTCCCTCTCTATGTCCTGGATGATTTTCCCTCATTGAAATTAATGTCTAAATTTATTGTAGTTCTTTGTGCCTCCCTACAAAACTGACCATCACCATTATATAAATAATTTCTCTTGTCTTTTAAGTGTATTACAGTAGCAGTCTGTGATACGTTTGTATCAATGGTGGTGTTTATAACTTTTTTTTTTCCAATTTATGAAGCAAGGAATCAAGTATTGGAAATAAATGTTTGTTATGCTACACAGAAAATATACATTTGTGTTGCACTATTACTGACAATACTTAACTCAGTAAGTAAGATATAACATTAAATTATTAAAACACCTTGCAAATCAAGCTCTTAAATCTTCATGTAGTTCATCTTTCAAATGTTTATAACAGATTTAGATTTTTTAGAAGTTCAAGCCTTTTAGTGCATTTGGATCTATGGATAATAAAGAAATCATGCTATTTTTTGAATGCCCTGATATTGTTTTGAAATTTAGTTTACATCCTTTTTAGCATCGTTCTAATTGGTCCAACAGCAAATAATTATTTTAATTATTTCCTCTTCTCATTTCAGGTTATTTTCCCTCAATCTTTATTGGTAACCCTAAGAGAACCAAGTACTGGGAGGATTTACAACACGCCAAAGTCTAAAGAAGAAAAGGGAAATAGAGGTATTCACTATCCTTTAGCTCGAAAGTGAAACCAAAACAGAGGGGTGAAGCAGAAGCACTGAAACATCTCACCGCCAAGCCAATGTGGTCCCCTAGGAAAGCTGTCAAATAAACACCGCAATGGCAGACATTACAAGCTACAAAGACACCACGAACCGCCACCTGCGGCACAAGCTGCAGAGCCTGGGCCGCCGCCTGGATGAGCTGGAAGAGGCCACAAAAAACTTGCAGAAGGCTGAGGATGAGCTCCTAGACCTTCAGGACAAGGTCATACAAGCTGAGGGCAGCGGCTCCCCCCTGTTGAATGATGTGGATGCTCTCCGCAAGCGGGTGATGAAAATTGAGGGCAAGGATGAGGAGGTACGCAAGGCAGAGGACCTCTGCAGGTTAGTCAGGGAAAAGCTGGAAGCTGAGGAGAAATTGACCAAAGAACTGAAATCCGAAATTGAACAGCTTCAGAGGAGGATGGCCGAGCTAGAGAAGCTGGAAGAGGCCTTTAGCAAGAGCAAGTCTGACTGCACACAGCTTTGTCTCAGCCTGAACGAGGAGAAGAATCTGACCAAGAAGCTCTCCTCTGAACTGGAGACCCTGAAAGCCCGACTAAAGGAGATAGACTCCTCAGAGAACCGATTAGACAGGGCTGAACAGACATTGAATGCGGAACTGGAGAAACTGAAGTCGCTGACGCTAAGCTTCGTCAATGAGCGAAAGAGATTGCTGGAAAAACAGAAGGAAGATGAGCAATTAATCCAAGAACTGACTCAGAAGGTGGAACACAACAACAGGATCAATGTGGGTGACCAAAGTAGGAATGCTTCCAACCTTCTGGAGCGTTCCACCGAGATGGGGGACCTCCGGATTGAAGACGACCTGTCTCCGGGTTTAACCAGCAAGATTGGTATCAGGAGAAAGAGCCTGGATTTTCTGAAGCTGACTGATAATGTGGGCTTGAGAAACAAATCTGAAAATGAAAAGAACCGCACTGAGGGCCAAGAAGACAACAAGGTGAAGGATCTCACCCAGGAGATTGAGAGGCTCAAAAATCGCTTGAAACAACTGGAACTAGTTGAAGAGGACCTAAAGAACACAGAGGCCAAGAACGCAGAGCTCTTGGAGAAGTTCCACCAAGAGAGGAATCGGAGTAAAGCACTGAGTGACCAGATGGAGCAGCTGAAGGTGCAGCTTGGTGGTACAAAAATCCTAGAGAATGGCAAGGCGGAGAACGAGGAGATAAATGTCCGTGGAGGTTTTCGGCAGGAAAAGCCCAAGAATAGGTTTGCTGCCACAGAGCCACCTGTCTCCAAGTACAAATCTCGTGAGCTCTCCCCACAACAGAGGCGGGAAACAAAGCAGAAATATAAAGATTTGAGTCAGTCAGAGGAAAGCTCTCCTAAACCCATCAGGAGGGCAATGAGTCCTGGAATGAAGAACAAGAGAGCTGGGAAAACAGTTTCCACCCCAACAGAACATGGGGTAAAAGAGAGGGGAAGGGCACTAGAAGAAAAAGTAGGGACAACCAACTACATATTGACAAGCTCATCCCCAAACGACGGGAAGAAAACTAGGGAGCAGCCCCCAGTCCTAAGCCGATATCCTCCAGCTGCAAATGACCAGAATGCCCCTAAGTCATGGAAAACGCCCACAGGGAAGCCCAATGAAAATGAGGGTAAGAGGAACCGAAATGAAAGGTTTTCTCGGTTATACGTTGGTAGCGACAGTGAATCAAACAATTCTGATGTGCCCTCAGAACATTCTAGCAAGACTACCACTATACAGCCTCCGGAAAAAGAGACTTTACGTTCAGAGTCTTTGGATCAACCTGAGGAAACAATGGCAGTATCAAGCCTGACCAAGTCTAATGGTTCATTTCCTGCCTACAAATCTCATGTTTCTGCTTTAACACAACATGAAAATGGGCCCGACAGCTCATCCTCAGCATCCGAGACTGAATCTACTGGATCTAGGCGTTCGCTAGGAGAGCCAGAATCTACTCCTGAAGTGAATATATCAAGTAGCAGGTCAGCTGTTTCAAAGCATCCCCGGTATTCTCGCTTGCAGGATTCTCACTCTGAGGCATCATCCTCACGGAGTTCCTTCGAAGAAGATGTGACCAAATCCCCAGCCACAGAGGGCACCTCATCAGAGCCAACCTATACTCCTTCAGGCATTGAAATCCGCAGAGTGTGTAGCCCCAGGGAGGCTCTGAGATCCAAAGCAATTATCAAGCCGGCTATTGTGGAAATTGACAGGAAGGAAGTTATGTCCGGAACTGGGGTGGAGCCTTTAATCGCGGATGGTAAGCCCAAGATCTCTACAAAACCCATCCTAAACAAGGTGACCAGTAGCATTACCATTTACCCAAGTGACCCCACCTCTTCTAGAGCCAGCAGCCGCAGTAGCAGCACCAGTGAGCCACCTAGACACACATCCACCAGCAACATTGTGATAACCCCCACCATTGAACACCGCAACAGTGTGTCTATACCATACGAAATCTCCATACCCAAGAGTGAGATAACTGTGAAACCTTCCCAGGAGGCCGAGGAGCCTGACCTGCCTGTGGAGGTGAAGACAGAGTCGCAGCTAACACGCAGCAGTTTTACCATAAGGGCTCTGGAGTCTGTGGAGAACAGCAACAATGACGAATCTGGCTTTGAGAGCAGTGGCAGCAACTGCGTCACTACCATGGTCTCAAGCTGGAAGGGTCAGCAGACCTGCAAGGAGGATATGATTCCAGACATGAAACATGTGACCATGAGGAGCACCTGGAGGAAAAAGCAAGGGGCCACCATGTCTCAGGAGGACAACCAGGGATCCAGGCTTATAGACGGTGTGGGAGAGGACTCCGACTCGAGTACTTGGAGGGCTTACCGAGCCACAACTGTCCTGGACCCGGAGGACTCTGTCCACAGCTCCAAGCCTAGCCCTGCGGAGATCTACATGCGCAGGATAAACAGCACAGTGACCTCTAGGGAGCCTCCAGAGCAGATGCGCAGAAGCAAAAGCACCTTGAGCACCTCAGAAAGTGTGCTAGGGAGAACCCAGCCACATGAGCCAGTTATAGCTCAGGAGCTGATACCCTGGAAGCACTCAAAATCCCTGGTAAGTGCAGAGACCTTTTGATGGAAATACGACCTGAAAATTGGAATAGTTTATCTTCACAGGAGGATGTGAACAGCCATACTACAATCATCAGAGGAAAATAACATTTTCACACATTAATGAAAGTTTTTTTGTTGTTGCAAAAATATAATTTTAATTAATAGCTAATATGAAGTTTCCTGGAACAAGTTTTTTTTATTGTGGTGTACAACCAAATACATTATATGTTCTCATTATTTATTAGGCTTCCCAGACTTTAGAGATGTTATGGATTTGTTTCTTCCTAAATTACAGACTGACCCCCCATTGAACTCCATGTAGCTAATCAACTCCAGACTTGACAGGTGCAATGTTATAGACATGACTTTTGATATATTGCTAAAGCTGTAATCCAAAATGGCTGCCAGACCTGAATATTTTAAAAACCTTTCAAATCATGGTCAATTTCATCAACAACCAATTCTTTTGCTTCTTTTTTGCACCTCCTTATCTATGACAAAATAAGATTCACAAACAAAATGCTAGTCATCCTTTTAAAATGTAGCATTTTATGTCAGTACAACATGCTTGGAAATTATCAAAACCACCTGGAGGTCTAGCTGTGGTAAAGGATTTAGGAATAGTCTTCAATACCTTTCTTTTCACAGATCCTCATTTTGACTCTTACTGAAAAATTAAAACAGAACAGGCATGACAAAAAAACATCTCTGCTAGAGACAGATTTTACTAATCTTTTTATGCATTCTGGCGTTCTGTATATACTAAAAACATAGTGGGGGATGCCTGGCTGTCTGTTAAAGCAGATTCATATTCTATTACCTTTTGGTGAATAAACAATGTCCAAAATGAAAATGATAAAGTAGTTTTATACTAACCAGATCTACAGTGCATCTAGGCAGTATTTAACATTTTGGATGCCTGCATTCCATGCCTCAGATGTTAGTGTCTGGGCTTCCAATTTCAAACATCCTTTTTGTTATTTTAGAGCATTTATGTCTTAAAAAGGAGCTGCTAAATGGAATGAAGAGGAAGTGGCTGTAAGACCTCTTAAAATGCCGCCACGCAGTTGCCTGTTTAACATCACATCTACTTGAAATAGATTAACAGATCTTTGTCTAGAAACTACAAGCAAAATATTTATAGCTATTTAATTCTACAATGTAAAGACTACTTCATTACAATGCATGTACAGTACTCTACGCAAATAAAACTTCAGATAACATTATATTCATGGGGTTTAGGAATTTCTTCTGTGTATGCAAAATCGCAAAGCCACAGGCAGCTGCTGTTGAGCATTCTTTCAAGAGCTATGAATCTTTACACAGAGCATTGCAAATACCTTTGTGTCCTTTTTTTTGCTCCAATTAAAAATTGCTTCTATGATAAAGTCAGAAGCCCTGGTGATGAGAACATTCTCCCTCTTCCCAATTTCCCAGGGAAATTAAAACGAGGTGAATTGTGCAGGGTTGAAGAGATTATTGGGAAAACAATGTGCCGGTATTGTCATCTGATTTACCAGCCTTTTCCAGATTTCCCACCCACAAGAAACCCCCGTGGGATTGCAATTAATCCTGACAGCCACACCATGACAGTTTTTTCCTTTGTTATATAGATTAATTTTAAATCTCAGTTTTAAATGTAAATCTAAAAAAATAAAAACCAATATGGTGAAGTTCAAGGAAAGGGCCTATAGATTTTCCAAATGCCAGAAAATGCTCAGCTAAGCCTCAGCTAAGATTTTGATAAATGGTTCCATGATTATCTTGGTAAAGGAACTATGCGATATTTGCCTTAAACTTATCCAGCCATCCAGGCATTTTTGAACCCCTTTATCCATAAAAGGGGTGGCTGGGGAGCCGGAGCCTATCCCATTGTGCAATGGGCACAAGGCATCATACACCTTGGGTGGGACGCCAGTCTATCACAGGACAGACACACAAACACACACATTCATACCACATTTCCCCAAAATCAAATTAACCTGTTTAAATGGGTTTTTTCCTATGGGAGGAAACCAGAGCACCTGGAGGAAACCACACAAGCATAGAGAGAACATACAAACTCCATGCAGATAGCACCCCAGAACTGAAATCGAACCCAGGGCCTCAGCACTGTGAAGCAGCACTGCTAACCACTGTACTGCCGGGCTGCCCATTTGATTAAGTAAAGGATTCAATTTAAAAAAGTTTTGGAGAAAGGAAATGGCAACATCTGTCTCAGTAGAGGTGTTTTTTTTTAAATATACATCACTTTTTTCCACAGCACAGTCTAATGGAACACTCATTTACACCTGCCATGTCACAGTGTTAAGATACAGCTCACATACTGTATTTCTGCAGTTATTTGGCATGGTGTTACACAATTCTGCTGGTCCTATAGATATATGCTTGCAAAGATGCATTTATTAAGAAGCCTTCAATCCTTATATTTGACTAACAGAATGAGACTTGATTATTTTATGTTTTTGAGCTCTCCCTTGATCAAACCTGTCATAATGAAAACCTGTTGATGAAAATACCTTTACCTGGGTATTTTAATGTATTTTATTGTAGGTTTGGAATTAAGTTTTGCCCTAACAAGTCTGGTCAGTGGTAAAGCATCCTGAAAATATCATATTAAGAGCTTCACCACCTTACTGTCAAAGTCGAACACTTTGCTGCGAACAGCAGTTTTTCTCGGCATAAATCCCAAAGACCCGAAATAAGCAAAAAAAAATACCTGGGGGAGAGGGGGAGGTCTCTCTGGTTTGTTCCTGTTTTAGTCTACCGCTGTGCAAGCCAGAACAGTGTGCTGTGATGTGCTCTTCGTGCCATCTCTGACAATGGGTTTTTGAAAAGATTGTTTGCAAATCCTAGCGGAGGCCAGATTCTGCTCAGAAGAGCACCTTTGTGGAGCCAGTCTCCTACTGACAGCAGCTTGTTCGCGTTTTTTCAAAGCAGTCAGCATTCCTGCGCTACGGTATATTGCTGGGGCATGATACTGTAGAGTCAGCCTCCGATATAGGCATGGCATACCGGGAGACTGGAGTGTCCGACACTTTTTCCAGTCTTCGTGGGTGGCATTGCTGTGTCTATTTCAGGGAGATGGTTTGATTAAACTGAAGGAGAAGTAGTGCAACTCCATTACTAACCATTCGTCCTGTCCCAGTCTCTTTTAGGCTATAGATAAAGACCTATTTATACATGTATACAGAGACTTATCCCTTCTCGACTGAGGAGAGGAGATTCCTTCTCCAGCTTTTCCTTCTCTTTTTTTATCATTATTTTTAATAGTTTTCATTGAGTGAGAAATGCTAAGATATAGAAGATCCCAGGTACATGTACTTAATTTTCCTTCATATTTCTTCAATGTGCAGTGCTTCTTTAACTACATACCTTTCACAGCAGGAACTGTATGACTTTTTGGATGCATAAGGAGTGTGTGAATTTCTGTCTGCAGCCTGGGGGGGCTCAGTGGTTTATGAGTGTCTTGTGAGAAAGCTTGGTGTCAGCACTAGAGAGAGAGAGATTCAGACACAGACACATACACATACACACAGACTGTTTCCTGTCCATGTCGTCTTATTTTGAAATGTTTTCAGTTTCAGGTTTTCCCCCTTGTATTCAGAATGGTTAGAATCATCCACTTGTCTTTTTTGATTTCTCCATTGCTCTAGCAGAACTACACTACCATGTCAATAATACTAGAATTATAGAGCTAGTTTTGCTAAAAGAACCAAATTACATTGGAAATTATTTTAAGTTTATATAGTTTATGCTGAAACTATACAAAATACACTCTCACTTTTTATCACAACCCATTTTTAATTCAATGTTATAATTTCACACACATGCAGAGCTTCATCCTTCATTGGTACTTCTGCAGTCCATTGGACAAGGACTATAGGCAGGGGATAGATCAGACACGTCTTTTCACATCGTAAGCCCCATATCTTTTCCCCCCCCAAGTTGAAACATTTTTTGTATGAAAATCCTCCCTTGTATTTGCACATGCAATACATACTTTTGTTGTTTTTTTTTTTCAAATGAAGCTTTCTCCACAATAGAGCTGGGATTTTCTTGTCAGAGTTGTTTGGCACCTAGCCCTTGCTTCTTACCACCAGACAGGTCTGGCTGCCATGTCTGCAGTTAAATATTCTCAAACCTAAAAGCCACAGAGGCCAACTTCTGTCCCATTTTGTGACCCTACAGACCAAGGCGTATGTACTGTGTCCCACCCAGCTGTAAACGAGGGTAGGGGAAAGATACCACAGTTCACTTGTGGGATAGATTGAGGATCTTAGCTTTACACTGGTCAAGACATGGTTTTACTCAAAACCAAAACAAATATGATGAAAAAACATTGGGACAGGCTGACTAATTTTCTTCTGTCGCTGAGCAGTGATTAAGTAATAGGCTGACATCCTGTTCTAAGCTGCACATTTGGGTATAATTACTGTAATTCTGCTGAAATAGTCAGTGTGTAACTAATCAGCCATGTTCTCCTTAACCTCCCAAGCTCATAATTAAAATTGCTCTGAATATCCCAAAAGATTCTGCTAAGATAAATCATAAAACACAGATGTGTCACACTGTGTCAAAACACAGATCACTTCAGTTTTAGGAAGCTAAGCAAGGCTGGGTCTGACCAGTACTGGCATGGGTCACCTCTAAGGAATTTCAGCTGCTGCTGTAAGTAGTGTTGGTGGACCAGGAAGGTGGCTTTTTTCACACTGGACCAGAACTTCTAAACCAGTGCTCCATTATGGTGACTGGAGACACTTTAGAAGGAGCCATGCTTTGAATATTAGATGTTAAACAGAGGTCCTCACTCCTTGGTAACTAAAGATCCCATGGCACCGTTCATAAGAGTAGGGGTGTTAATCCCAGTAAACCGGCTGAATTCCTCTCCAGACTTGCACATTCTGGCCTTTCTAAAAAAAACCTTAATTCTGTTAGTAAAGCAATTTCCCTCTTTTCCACTGGACCTGCTAGGTAGTAGAGCTTCTGGGCCACAATAGC